AGTTTATATTCTAGAACAGCGCCGTCCGGTAGAACATCCCTCAATGAGAGCGATGTCCCGCGTTATTTAATACAATAGCCACCAGCCACGTGCAGCTACCGAGCAGTCGAAATGTGCCTGGTGCAACTGAAAACTGGATCTTAAATTTTATTTAATTATAATTAATATAAATGTAAAGAGGCACATGTGGCCAGTGGCTGCTGTATTAGGAGAAAATGGGTAGATACGCTCTCCTGCCTCTTCCTTTAACCACAAAAATATAAGTAAATTTTGAATATTAAAAAGTGCTATGCAGGGAACTATACTCAATATCTTGTAATAACCTATAATAGAAAAGAATCTGAAAAGGAATATATATGTATATTGGGTTGGCCAAAAAGTTTGTTTGGGTTTTTCTGTAAAATCTTACGGAATAAAGTCTATATATATATATATATATATATATATATATATATATGGTGCTATGAAGAAAGCAAAGCAGGGAGAGAGTGACTGGGGAACTGGGAGAGGCAGTATTTTACATGGAATGGTGGTCAGGAAAGGCCTCTCTGTGGAAGGGTGACTTTCACATGGAGCCGTGAAAACCGAAGAGCTCTAGGGGTGGACTTCTTGGCAAAGGCCCTGTGATGGAAGGGATACACCTGTTCCAGCAGCTGGAGTGATAGGGACAAGTGGAGAGGGGAGCAGGGACCAGAACGGGCCGGGGTTGGAGTTCACTCTGATGGGACCCAAGAGAGGGCTTCATGCAGAACAGTGTCCTGAACTGATTCCTACCTTAAAATCTCCCTCTGCATGACTATCATCAAAAAGAATACAAGAAACAAATGTTGGCAGGGATGTGAAGAAAAGGGAACCCTCATGCACTGTTGGTGGGAATGTAAACTGGTGCAGCCACTGTGGAGAATAGTACGGATGTTCCTCAAAAACTAAAAATAGAACTACCATATGACCCAGCAATTCCACTCCTGGGTATATTTTGTAAAAAAGAAAAAAAAGAAAAAAAAGTACTAATTTGAAAAGATATATGCACCCCAGTGTTCATAGCAGCATTATTTACAATAGCCAAGATATGGAAGCAACCTATGTGTCCATCAACAGATAAATGGATAAAGAAGATGTGATACACACACACACACACACACACACACACACACAATGGAATACTACTCAGCCTTAAAAAGAATGAAATTTTACCATTTGCAACACCATGGATGGATTTGGAGGGTATTATGCTCAGTGAAGTAAGCCAGACAGAGAAAGACAAATACAAATCACTTATATGTAGAATCTAAAAAGTACAACAAACTAGTGAGTATAATGAAAAAGAAGCAGACTCACAGATACAGAGAACAAACCAGTGGTTACCAGTGGGGAGAGGGAAGGGGGAGGGGCAAGATAGGAAGAGAGGATTAAGAGGTACAAACTGTTAGTCATAAAATAAGCTACAAGGATATATTGTACACCATGAGGAATACAGCAAATATTCTGTAGTACTATAAATGGAGTATAACTTTTTTTTACAAGTTTTTTTGTGTGTGTGTGTGTGCGGTACGCGGGCCTCTCACTGTTGTGGCCTCTCCCATTCCGGAGCACAGGCTCCGGACGCGCAGGCTCAGCGGCCATGGCTCACGGGCCCAGCCGCTCCACGGCATGTGGGATCTTCCCAGACCAGGGTTCAAACCCGTGTCCCCTGCATCGGCAGGCGGACTCTCAACCACTGCGCCACCAGGGAAGCCCCCTGGAGTATAACTTTTAAAAACTGTGAATCACTACATTGTATACCTGTAATTTATATAATATTATACACCAACTATACTTCAACTTTTAAAAAACCTTTAGAGATTAAAAATAACATTTAATTGCTTTTCAGTACCAAAATGAATCTCAAACCATAAATAAAGCCCATTAAGAAGCAGAAAGAAAATCCCTGTGCTGCTCTAGAGAGGAAGTAAGCAGGAGGCCTGTGGGAGGCCTCCAGACGGGAGACGGAAGTGGTCCAATACTGGGTTTATTTTGAAGACAGAGTCAACAGGATCGCTGATGGACTAATTTGGGGGTGAGGTAAAGAGGATTTTGGCCTGAGTGTGCCATAGAGATGGAGATGAAGAGCTGTAGACATGGGGGGGGTGGGCAGGACCCATGTTTGAGGGGGAAAATCAAGAGTCTGATGTTCAGCTAAACATGTCAATTTGGGTGTTGTCAGCAAAAAGACACAGCTCCCCTCTGCTCTGCTGTGCCCATCTCCTGTCCTCACCAGTGCCCTGAGGGACCCTCACCCACTTCTGATGAAATTGCCCAGCATTACTTTGTTATAAAGCAGAAACTAACACACAATTGTAAAGCAATTATACTCCAATAAAGGTGTTAAAAAAAAGAAAGAAATTGCCCAGCCTGAAAATGCCTCAGAGTGGCCGTTTCTGGGTTCACAGGGGAGGGATGCCCCTCCCCCAAGTCCTGCACAGGTTTGTCACCTGACCCCCTAAGCAGATAAGTGGGGCCCCAAGTCCCAGAGGGTTGCTCTTGAAAATAAGTCCATTAGTTCTTCCTTGAGCCCTCTCTTCAGTGGAACTCAAACCTAGGCCAGTGGGAGGGACGGGAGAGGATATGCTATCTCCTCATCCCCTTTCCCCCGGATGTCATGTTGGCTACCCCTGTTTCCAAACACACGATGAAAGGCCATCCTCTATGGAAGCCCGTGCATTTAGATACTCAGCGTGGTCCAGCCCATCGCTTCCCCTGTGGGGGTTCTGTTAACATAACCTACCTTATAATAAGCAAATTGTTCCTGTGCTCCTAAAGTAATGTTTGTTTACTGCAGTTCCCGTCAACATTCTAACAGGATTTTATCTGCAGAGGATTCTGACTCATGAGAACTGATTTACACTAATAGATGATCAGAACAACCCAGAATTAGTTGGCAAAAGAAGAATGATAAAGAGAAACTCACTCTACCAGATGTTAAAACATGCTCTAATCTACAAAAAAAAATTCAAGTGAAGCATAAGTGTAAGGCTCAAGAGCTAGATAAGAGGTACAGAACAGATAATCCAGAAACACCCTAGTATGTAGAAAAATTTAATGTATGGCCAAGGTGGCTTCACAAATTAGTGAGAAATAAATAACACTATACATGCTACTGAGACAATTGATAACTTTCAAGAAAAATGGTTAGAATTGTATCTCACAGCTTACCCCAAGATCAGTTCGGTTCAAGTCCAGACAAGTTAAATGTAAAAAATAAAGCCAAGGGCTTCCCTGGTGGCGCAGTGGTTGAGAGTCCACCTGCTGATGCAGGGGACACGGGTTCATGCCCCGGACCGGGAGGATCCCACATGCCGCAGAGCGGCTGGGCCCGTGAGCCATGGCCGCTGAGCCTGCGCTTCCGGAACCTGTGCTCCGCAATGGGAGAGGCCACAACAGTGAGAGGCTCGCGTAACACAAAAAAAATTTAAAAAAATAAAGCCAAAACACTCTATGAAAACATAGACTAATAGGTCTCAGCTATCAAAGCAGGGAATCACCTTCTAAATGTAAAATCACAATGAAAGAAACCACAAGAGGAAAAGATTGATAAATTTGCCATCTAAAAATAAAAAATTTCTACCTGTAAAACATGAAAAAATACCATATGCAAAACTAAAAGGTAAATGACAGACTGGAAAATTTTTGCAACAAATATAGAAAGGTACTAATGTTTTTAATATAGAGAGAACTCATAAATTAATAATAAAACCACTGGGCATCACAATATAAAAATGACATAGGGACTTTCCTGGTGATCCAGTGGGTAAGACCCTGCGCTCCCAATGCAGGGGGCCCGGGTTCGATCCCTGGTCGGGGAACTAGATCCCGCATGCATGCTGCAACTAAGAAGTCTGCATGCCACAACTAAAGATCCCGCATGCCACAACTAAGACCCGGCACAGCCAAAATAAATAAATAAATATTTTTTTAAAAAAATAATAAAGTATGTTTTTTTAAATGGCATAAATCCACAATTCACAAAAGAATACAAATGGCAAGTGAATCTTTGAAAACTGTTCACCCTTATTAGCAATCAAGAGAAGCAGCAAAGCATATTAAAGCAGTTTTCCCATATCTAATTGGCCAGGCTTTTTAATGGTAATATTTCATGTAAGCTAAGTGGTGAGTCGGGCACTCATTCACTGCCGGCGAAAAGGCCAAATGATGCAAAAACTTGGCCATATGAGTCAAGAGAATGTAAAATGTTGACCTCCTTTGACCCAGTGCTTTTACTTCAGAAATAAGGACTAAGGGTATTGACTACAATTTTGTCGAGAAGAGCCAAAAATTAGGAATAAATGTCCAACAAAAGTCCAATGGCTAATTACATCATGTATGATATATCCCTACAATGTAATGTCATGCAGCCATTTCTTAATCATGCTTTTGCTCAAAGTTTGTGAAAATGGGAAATGTTCAAGTGAAATGAAGGAACTACGATATTTGGGGCAATGTTTTTCTTTTTTATACTTTGATGCCTTTTCTGGATTTTCTATAGTGATTTTATCTTTATGATAATAAACGAAACATTCATATCCATTTTCTAACTTGTATATAAATTCCACTTGCCAGCCCCAAGCAAGCATCTTGCTTCTGATGTATCATCCGTAAAAGCGGCTTGCGAACCCAGCCAACACTTCACTGCAAGGTTCCCTCCAGCACCCTACCCACCACTTCATAAGATCTCGGTGCCCTTGTTGCTTTTCTGTATCCCTTGGTCTCTAAACATGAATGAGTGACCTGCATCCTCATTTGCTTGCTTTGGGCCCGTCCCCACTGCCCTTCCCAGAGAATGGAAGAGAAGAAAAATGTGATCTTTCATGTTTAGGAGTACCCACTCTCACACCATCTGTGCGCACCTGGGTATTTGCTTTGGGTGCCAGTTGGGGTGGGTCATGGGAGCAACTTAGAAAGAAATGCTAGTTCCTTTTGCCCTGTGAGGAAACACTGACACTGTCTTTGTTCTTGTCCCACAGATATGATGCTGCCTCTTGTGTTTAGCCATTGGAACAGTTACAATCTTCTGCACTGAAATCATTCTGGAAACTCAAGCACCAGACTTCAGCGTTCAAGTGAAGCCAAAGCCATTGGAGCGGGGCATAAAGCCAAAAGCCTTTTATCTTAGTAGTTCCAAAACTTTCACTGCCCCTTCCCTACCCGCCCCCATCCCCCAAATAAGCCATTGCACACAGACAGACAGCATGGCGAGCAAACGAAAATCCACAACCCCGTGCATGGTTCGGACATCACAAGTAGTAGAACAAGACGTGCCCGAGGAAGGAGACAGGGCCAAAGAGAAAGGAATCGGCACGCCACAGCCCGAAATGGCCAAGGACGCTTGGGCAGCAGAACCTGAAAACTCTTCCAAAGAAAATGAAGTGATAGAGGTGAAGTCTACAGGGGAAAATCAATCCAAAAAACTCCAAGGTGGTTATGAATGCAAATACTGCCCCTACTCCACGCAAAACCTGAACGAGTTCACGGAGCACGTTGACACACAGCACCCCAACGTGATTCTCAACCCGCTCTACGTGTGTGCCGAGTGTAACTTCACAACCAAAAAGTATGACTCCTTGTCTGACCACAACTCCAAGTTCCACCCCGGGGAGACCAACTTCAAGCTGAAGCTCATCAAACGCAATAATCAGACCGTCTTGGAGCAGTCCATCGATGCCACCAACCACATCATGTCCATCACCACCAGCGGCCCTGGAAGCGGGGACAATGACCCCGGGATCTCGGTGAGTAAAACCCCCATCATGAAGCCAGGGAAACCGAAAGCCGATGCCAAGAAGGTGCCCAAGAAGCCAGAGGAGGCCGCCCCTGAGAACCACGTGGAAGGGACCACCCGCCTGGTGACAGACGCGGCTGAGATCCTCTCAAGACTCGGGGGCGTGGAGCTCCTCCAGGACACGTTAGGACACGTTATGCCTTCTGTCCAGCTCCCACCAAATATCAACCTTGTCCCCAAGGTCCCCGTGCCGCTGAACACTACCAAATACAACTCTGCCCTGGACACCAACGCCACCATGATCAACTCCTTCAACAAGTTCCCTTACCCAACGCAGGCTGAGCTGTCCTGGCTCACAGCTGCTTCCAAACACCCGGAAGAGCACATCAGAATCTGGTTTGCCACCCAGCGCTTAAAGCATGGCATCAGCTGGTCCCCGGAGGAGGTGGAAGAGGCCCGGAAGAAGATGTTTAATGGCACCATCCAGTCAGTGCCCCCAACGATCACTGTGCTGCCCGCCCAGTTGGCCCCCACAAAGATGTCACAGCCCATCCTCCAGACAGCGCTTCCGTGCCAGATCCTCGGCCAGACCAGCCTCGTGCTGACTCAGGTGACCAGCGGGCCGACGACCGTCTCTTGCTCCCCCATCACGCTCGCCGTGGCCGGAGTGACCAACCACGGCCAGAAGAGACCTCTAGCGACTCCCCAAGCTGCCCCCGAGCCCAAGCGCCCACACATCGCTCAAGTGCCAGAGCCTCCGCCCAAGGTGGCCAACCCTTCGCTGACCCCGGCCAGCGACCGCAAGAAGACAAAGGAGCAGATCGCACACCTCAAGGCGAGCTTCCTCCAGAGCCAGTTCCCCGACGATGCTGAGGTCTACCGGCTCATCGAGGTGACCGGCCTCGCCAGGAGTGAGATCAAGAAGTGGTTCAGCGACCACCGGTATCGGTGTCAAAGGGGCATCGTCCACATCACCAGCGAATCCCTTGCCAAAGACCAGCTGGCCATCGCGGCTTCCCGACACGGCCGCACTCACCACGCGTACCCAGACTTTGCCCCGCAGAAGTTCAAAGAGAAAAGCCAAGGTCAGGTGAAAATCCTGGAAGACAGCTTTCTGAAAAGCTCTTTCCCGACCCAAGCAGAACTGGACAGGCTAAGAGTGGAGACGAAGCTGAGCAGGAGAGAGATCGACTCCTGGTTCTTGGAGAGGCGGAAGCTTCGTGACAGCATGGAACAGGCCGTCCTGGATTCCATGGGGTCCAGCAAGAAAGGCCCAGACTCGGTGGCCCCCAATGGTGCTCTGTCTCGACTCGACCAGTTCTCCAGCGCCCAGGTGCCCGGTTCTTTGCCCAGCCCTTCACCAGCAATTACAAAAAATCAACAACAGGTTCATCTCCTGAGGAGCACGTTTGCAAGAACCCAGTGGCCAACCCCCCAGGAGTATGACCAGCTGGCGGCAAAGACCGGCCTGGTCCGAACTGAAATCGTGCGTTGGTTCAAGGAGAACAGATGCTTGCTAAAAACTGGAACCTTAAAGTGGCTGGAGCGGTACCAGCAGCGGCACGTGGCGGATGATCATGGCTACGACGCCCCGTCGAGGAGGGCGGCAAAAGCCGTCATAGCCGAGAGCTCGAAGAACGGGAGCGAGGGCAGTCCGCAGTATCACAAGGACCCCAAAAAGCTCTGCAAAGAGGACTTGGAGAAGCTGGGCCCCAGGATGAAAGCAGGCGGCGAGCAAGCAAGAGACGGTTTGCTGGCAAAGCCCTCGGAGGCCACCTCGGACAGATCAGAGGGCAACAGTCGGGACGGCCAGGGCAGCGACGAGAATGAGGAATCGGGCATCGTGGATTGGGTGGAGGTGACGGTCGGAGAGGAGGACGCCGTCTCAGACAGGTCGGACAGCTGGAGTCAGACGGCAGCAGAAGGTGCGGCGGAACTGGCCGACTCGGACTCCGACAGCGTCCCTGCTGAGGCCAGCCAGGCCTAGACAGGTAACGCCACCTGTCCCCCCGGGAGCCAGGGCAGGAGGCTGGGTTTCTTTCTTTCTATTGGCAGAGTCGATACAGGTGTTGGGTACAGAGATATGGACACAGATCATGGGTTCTTCTTTCAAGCTCTTTTAAGACAAAGGAAGAAGAATAGGTGTTGCTAGATTTTATGTTTTTATTTGCAAGGTAGTGCTGGTAGGTGACAGCATCACTGCCTGTGGCCTTTGGGGGGGTCCATCCGTTCTAAAGTCTAGTAACAAGGTAACACAACACAAGGCCTGTTTTGTGTTCACTGGTGTAAGAGACAAACATGAAAGGATATGTCTTTTCTTTTTGGATTTTTTAAAGAATAAGTGTCTACGTTTACTGAATAAAAATTTGGGATTGTTTCCTTTAACCTGAAAGGTTTTGAAAGTACCTGGTATTTACCTCGCCGCGGCTGAAGGAAGGTGCGCCCATGTATGTCTCATTAAGTAACCCCGCTTGTTGCTGTGCTGATGGGGTCCCCAGAGCCCCTTCAAATCTGGAAGAGACTGGTGTAAATTAGGTCTGTGGAGCCACAAAAGCCTGGGAAGGGAGGTTACCATGGTCACTAATGGCCATGTCATCCACAAAATGGGACGTGCCACCCAAGCCCTTGGTGTTTGTGTCTGTGCAAATCAGGGCCTGAAGCATGGCAGCTTTCTTGATGGTATGTTTAGAAAAGGGGGCGGGGTGGGGGGGATGGTAGAGAGAGGGATACAGGAGGGAAAGGTCTACCTTGGCCAAAACCGAAGTATTCCAAGGGCAGCTTAGAACCAGGAGGGAGATGCACAATTTACAATTTACAATCTGCCCGGCTTGGCTTCTCCAGAGGTCACTTAAAAGGCAACGGAAGCCCCACGCCACCACCATGTCATCTTTAAACATAGTGAAAGGTAAAAACCTCTAGAATGATTGATAAGGTCCCCAAGGGAGCCCTGGAAACTACCATACCTTTTTATTTATGAACTCGGACAACTTTGGCCAGCCATGTCCCTCATTAATTCAGTAATAAAACGAGGCACCTGGCAAATAAATAAAGTCCTCTAGAAACCTTATTTTAGCCGGCGCCATCAGTTATTAAAAGAGCAATTTAATGAGCAGCCAATCACAGAATGCCATCAAGTCTCTCTCCTCCAGCTTTGCAGGAGGAGGTGGTGATGGGCTGCGGATGAGGAAGTGATAGGAGGGGTTAAAGGGCATTACGCATCGCACCAACCACCCACCTCCACCCGGCTACAACGGTTTCATCCTCCCTCTGGCCATTTTCTTGCTTCTTATAAGAATCTACCAGGGACTACCGTGGCAGTCCAGTGGTTAAGACTTTGCCTTCCAATGCAGGGGGTGCGGGTTCGATCCCTGGTCGGCGAGCTGAGATCCCACATGCCTTACTGGCCAAAAAACCAAAACATAAAACAGAAGCAATTTGTAACAAATTCAATAAAAAAAAAAAAAGACCCTACCAAACCAGCCCATATCCCCCTTGTTGAAATGAAGGAGCAATTTTTTTTTTTTTGGTCCAATCAGATTCTGCCTAAAAGCTCCTAGTTTGCCCCGTCTTCCATCCCAGATTTTTCTGATGCATAAACATAAGTACGTGATTGCTTTTTCCACCTACCACACAGTAGACAGTTGGGTTCAATTCAATTCAACAAATATGTCCTGAGCGCCTACTGTGTGTGGGCGAATGTGCTAGGCACTAGAGAGGACAAGATGAAGAAGATGGAGTCCTCCTTCACCTAGAGCTCAGTCAGACCAACAAGAAGGGAAATTGCTCTTCCTTTATTCGCCAGGGTGCTCTGTGGAATGATGGAGACGTGCATGCAGGAGGGGCACCCAGGCTGGGAGTCAGGGAAGGCTTCCTGGAGGAAGGGACAGCTGACTCAGGAGCTAGCCAAGTGCACAGACAAGGAAAAGAGCGTTTCAAGTGGAAGCAAGAGCCAAGCAAGGGTCCAGAGACAAGAAAAGGAATGGTGCAGCTGAGGAACCAAAAGAGGTTTGGCGTAGCCAGAAAGTTGAGTTTGGGATTCAGCAAACAATGAGAAGAGGCAAACTAAAAAAACCTGATGGCTTTCCACAGCAGGCAAAAGTTATTCTGAACCAGTTGTGTTTGCTCAATTTGGATATAAGGATGCTAATTGTTCCTGTGTCCAGAGTGAGCTCTGGATGCACATCGCTGAGTGGGAGGTATCTAGGGATGGCAGCCCCCCAGAGGCCCCCAAGGCCACCTGTCCCCATCTTTTCTCTCCCAAACTATACCAACACCAACAGTTGACAGCGCCCATCTGAGTTAGTTGCCACTGTGCTTGACCCCCACCTGAGGCCCAAGAGAAGGAGAAGGGGGGAGAAATGCTGAAACCATAAAGAGAAGCTTTGGGGGGGGAGGGAGGGGGAAGGGAGGGAGGGAGGGGAGGGAGGGAGGAAGGAAGGAAGGAAGGAAGGAAGGAAGGAAGGAAGGAAGGAAAGAAGGAAAGAAGGAAAGAAGGAAAGAAGGAAAGAAGGAAAGAAGGAAAGAAGGAAAGAAGGAAAGAAGGAAAGAAGGAAGGAAGGATGCAAGGCCTCCTGAGTTCAGAGGCTGAGCTGGGCGCTGTGGCCACAGATGGTCTCATTCAATTCTCCTAGCGGCCCTGAGAGGTAAGCTTCTCTATATTTTTATAAAACCAGAAACTGAGACTCAGAAACCAAGGAACTTATCCACATTCTCCCAGCCAGCACCTCGGTTTCACTCCGGAGCCTTCATTCTTCCTACTGCCGTTTCTGCCTCTTTATTTCTGACAGAAATTCCCCATTTCTGATTGATAGCACCTCCCACCCCTGACCCGCTCCTGTGGCGGCAGATACCTAGGGTTTTTAGAGTTGACTTTTGAATTAACATCAAATAATTCAGAGATGTAGGAACTAGTCAAGTTCCCCCAAAAAACAGGAACTCCCAGGAACCGCTCTTTTATGTTTATTTATGGCGAACGCCACAAGTGTGTGCTAGAAAACATTCCTAAACAACATGCTAAGATCTACTCAACACCTGTGACATCCGATATCCCTAATGGGCCTCCTGATACTTTTCAGGTGCCACTGAATTGAGAAAGGGGCCGCCGTCTCTGTGCCGGTGGCGGCAGCCAAAAGTTCTCCCAAGTCCCAACAGAGGCACCCCTTCAAGGAAGCTTCCAACCTCGAGGGGAAAAAAACCTCTCCAGATACTTCACAGCTTTTATGAACCAAACACATGGGTCTCTTGAAATTCATAAATATTCAGTGATGTCTTTATTTAAACACATATTTATTTAGGAACCTGCAGTTGAGTGCATTTGCCACGCATATAATAATCCTGGGAATGATGCATGGTTTTGATTTCATGAAAGGTGTTATGGGATGCACATATGAGAGAGAGAGAGAGTGAGAAAAAACTTGGGTAAGCAGCTGGGCGCTGATCCTAGGATGGGATTTCCTCTGTGGGAGTGAAGCGTACCCACCCCGACCGATTCCTCTGGCTGAAGCTTGGAAAGGCTCAGGACAGTATTTGAATGTCCAGGCTCACCCTGGCCGTGAGATTAGACACAAAGATAAGGAGTCCTTCCCAAGCCTTGAATTGGGGCATCTTGATTCAGTCTCTGGGTCCAAACAATTATCGAGCCATCCACTGAGAGATCTGTCCTGGTAAGGGGCCAAAAAATAAACTCTTCCTTTCCTAAAAATGAGTCAGAACACTTGAGCCAGAGAATGTCAGACATATGCCTTGATGGTTGGCCAAACGAAATTGCCCGGCTCTGCTACCGCGAAGAATTTCCATTTATTTGTATATGCCATGTGTTCAGCGTTCTTCCCAGCACATCTATTAAGTCATTTACACTTCATGACAACCCTCTGAGAGAGGTACGGCTCGTTCCCCATTTTACAGAGGGCCAAACGGAGGCTCAGAGATGCTTGCCCTGGGTTCCTCAGCTAGCAGCTGGTGGAGCCTGGAGGCCCCCTCTCACCTGTCGGGTCACTGCCTGACCCAACCCCCGTGGCCCATCACCTTGCCAGCAGTAGCACCACCATCACCGCCCAGGCTGGACCCATGGGACATGGTCATTTCTTAATTCTATGTGGAGTGGGGACTAATACACAACTATTCACTGCTTTGCTGCCTCCTGATTTCTGACAATTTCCATCTCCTGAGAATTAGGGATGGCTTTGGGGAAGAGGTAAATCTGTGAAATGTCAGAAAAAAAATATTTTCCGTAGTTCAGCTTGCTTAAGATATTCAAGGCTGCCAACATTGGATCCTGGCTACAATTTAAGATCTAGGATAGGTATACCCCATCATCTGTTCAGATTAGCCGTCCAAATACAGATATGTGAATGGATGGATGGAGAAATGAAAACGCCGTAATTAACTATTTCCCTGTGTCTCCCCTATCAGACCCTGAAAGGCAGGCCTCATAGGCCATTAATCTCTGAATCCCCCAGAGCCTGATTCAGAACAGATGCTTAACAGCAGTTTATCGAACCAACCTGAGAATTAACAAAGACAGTTGGCTTCCAGTTATCCAGGATCTGGTACCTCAGTCCTTTGCTTCTCCTCATTTATTTTTTTTTTTTCTGTCACTCACTAGTCCCATCAGATGACAGCCATCGGGGGAGAGGAACTGGGGACAAACTGCTTCCCCTGTGTGTGGGCAGCTTGAGGGAAAGGCCTGTTGGAGAATCGATCACTAGCTATTTACTGGGTGATACTGCTCAGGGACTGTACCTTAGCCTCGCTGCCCTGGTACCTCATGGAGGGTTAACTGCTATGACTTCCTTTTACCTAATTCTGGAGTTTCTCACACTAGGAATTTCCACTGTGCTTTAGGCAGCTTGTAGTGACTTAGGAACGTAATGAAATCGAAGCCCCTCATTTTTCAGAGGAAGGATGCTAGCCCCAAGGAGTAGGAGCAACTAGTCCAGAGATGCTCATAGTAAGTGCCTTGGCTCATTCATCCATCAGTATTTGTGGAAAG